CCAGTTCGACTTTTATTCCTTTCTTTAACTGCTTTCTCTACTGGGTGAATAGTGCGTGATGTCACCGCCATTGGTGCAACAGACACAACATATCAAGTACATACTTAAAAGTACTTACTTATACATAAGTACATACATGTACATATATAAATATGTATATGAAGCGTACATTTGCAAGCTAACATCATGCAGTGTGTTTTTTCACATAACATTATCGCATTTTTTAATTTATTTTATTAATGTATACGAACGTGTGTACTAGGGTGATCCTTGTATCCACAAAATAAGAGCATCCACGAATATTTTAAAATTGAAACGAAAATAGGGGTCGCAGCCAAGGTTTGAATAAATTGATTTTCGACAAAAATTTGACTTTGATCAGCTACTTTATAACACAGCGAGTTTATCAATTTATGTGAATAAGTTTCGAGTCAAAATTTTATCGAGTGTTTTGCTATTTTTTCTATTAAAATTTTTGTCAAACCTTGGTAGCGATCCCTAAAAATTTGTTTAAAATTTTGTAATTTTCGTGGATAATTTTATTTTGTGCGTAGAACAAAATAAAGGGGTGCCCCTTATAAAATTTAGATGTTGATATTTTAAGGACCAACCTTATGTATTTGCATATGTATGTACATGCAAACGTATTTTATACCAGCAACTTAACTGATTCGCCGGCGACGCGCCTATCTTCCACCGATATCCTTTCAGTGCTGTTGAAGTGGTTATTATGCTGAATGATGCTTCTTCGGTTATCTACTATCAACGCTAGAATCGGTTGCAAATACCAGATAATAGTGGCAGTTTAGCTTAAAGAGGTTTATATGTACACATACATAAGTACTTACTATACCTACATACCCTGCCAGCAGAAAAACGTACATTTTACCGACAGTGCAGTTTTCGTACATTTTTCGTATCCGGAAACGTTCAGAAAACGATTTCTATATTAGTTCATCACCTTATTTCAAAACAATAATTTTAAAATATTAGTTCAAACTGAGCATTTGAAAACATGTATACGTACTCGCCAGTAGCTGAGTGCGCAGAGAAGTGAGCTACTATTTGTTAGCTTTCAGGAGGTTCCGGTTCGAATTCCGTCCGAAGCAACACATTAAAATTATTTACTAATCGAAATAATTGCTGAATCTTAAATTTGTTATTTGACTGGTTGCCTGTAACTATGAAAAAGTTTCTGTGAAGTTCATAAACAAACAAATAAACGTGCAGCAAATAGTTCCGATACTAGCAAGTTAATATTCTTATTAAGTCTCATCAAAAAATTCCTTGTCGTTTAAAGAATAAACAGAATGCCGCATTATACTAAAGCCAGCTTCCCGACATAAGCTCAAAATATCATATATATATCTTTCCGTCAAGGTGTACGGATTTTTGGAGTGTTTTTTTTCATATAATAAAAATGTTCCTGTTTTACACATATCTCATAAATTTCTTGAAGTTCCTGAAGCCCCCATTATTTTATTAAAAAGAATTCGTTATTTTCGTACTGGAGGGACTTATCTATTAACGGCTTGACTATTTTTCACCCCATTTTAAAAATCAAACATGAAAAGAGGATTTATAGGCCTTTAAAATTATGTATATTGGTAGCCTTCGATTGTTGCGAGTTTTTATCGCGCAAAATTTAAAAAAAACTCTAATTTTCCTTATTTTTTAAACTTTAACTATCGCTTCAAATATTAAGCTGTTACTCGGAAGGGTCGACAACCTGAATGGAAAGTTTGTTACATGTACATAAATTAAGAACACACTGCTTGTTAAAAAGTTCTAGTCAGAAAAATAATAAGATTGTCTGTGAAGCAATAAACAAATAGGACTAGTGGAAATACATTCCCACGTCAAACGGTTCTACGTACCGGAATGACTCGGGGTTTACCCGCCCAAGGGCTGTAGTTTCGGCGATCTAACCCCGTTTAGGTCGGCGAAATCCGTCAAACGTTGCTCTATTTTAGGGCTACAACTGCTCCGGGCCAGAAACTTACACCTGCTGCGTATGCCAGAGACGACTGTATACAAACTTCACCTCGGTCAGGTGGACACGTCGTTCGTGGCCACATGCTGTGCGAACCGAATCGCCTCCACGGCATACCACCACCCGCCCGTGCAGAACACAACCAACACACACACACCTCAGCACAACACAACAATAGATACACACACAAACACAATAGCACCCACACACCGCCGCGGGCAACTCCCAGTCCCTCCAACAATCTGCTCGGTTTGTCAGTCCAGAATATACCGTAACGTGACATCAGTCAAGTGCAACTCCTGCCTTGGCTGGTGCCACTTTAGGGCATGCTCAGGACTTCACAACACGCGTGATTGGACAAGTGACTACGTGGGCCCCTGCTGTGCTGCCCTGTCGCATACCTCCCCCGCGACGCCGCCAACCACCACCACAAGGCAGCACCCCCTTTTGCAGCACGTACAGCAGGGAGCCGGCAGGCAACACAACTCCTTAATACCACACATAACAATCGGTCTCCCAAGGCACACAAAGGTGCTACAATTTAATTGTAATGGACTCCAGAGCAAGATCGAGGAGATAACTGTCTTTATGGGAAGGCATGCAATATTAATAGCTGCGGTCCAAGAGACGAAGTTGCACGGCAATTGAACCTTGGTGAATTGCGCCGGATACAACGTGCACCGTCGAGATCGCGAGCGAGACAATGGTGGAGGAACCATGTTCACCACCTGGACCAAGGAGGTCAGGCTACCGCTGGGAATTCACGTGGATGATACACTAATTTCGACGGTGAATAACCCCAAAATACTCGGAGTAACCTTCGACAGTCTGCTCTCCTTCTCTGCGCACGCAACCGCTATTGTCAACAAAGTACAGAGCCGCAACTAGGTCCTCAAAGTCGCTGACCGGCAGCACTTAGGGCAAAGACAAAGAAACGTTGCTGGCAACATACAAGGCAATAGGCCGGACGGTTTTAAACTACGCAGCACCAGTGTGGTCGCCGGAGACTAGTTGGACGCAGTGGATGAAGCTACAGACAACTCAAAACACCGCACTACGGACAGCGACTGGATGCCTTCTGATGTCGCCCCAACACCATCTACACGACGAGGCGATATTGCTCCCGGTCAAGGAGCATAACACCATGCTCTGCAAGCAGTTCCTTGTCGGGAGCGATAGACGTGGTCACCCGAATGGGCAGCTGCTTGCAGGAAAGCCCTCGCCCAGGCTCGTCAGGAGGCATCTCTACGAACTAACGGACGAAGTCCAGAGGTTCATTAAAAAACCTCTGGACCCGTCAGCATATCGGCAGGCCCTGAATGGCATTCACAGGTAGTCAGTCTCGAGTTATGTAGACTCCAGACCTATGAATGCCGTTCTAGGCGCACAACCACCGGACATAGACGAGACGGAGCTTCATCTGCCTCGGGAGACAAGAACCACAATAGCCCTTCGCTCTGGCTACTGCAGCAGGTTAAACTCATACCTGAGCAGACTAAACGCATGCGGAGAGACACCTCGTGACTCGAAGCATCTCTTCGTATGCCCGGAAAACCCAACAACCCTAACGCTTTTGTCCCTGTGGACCGACCACATTGATGCTGCACGCTTCTTAGGGCTGCCGTTAGTGGAACTTGATGACAACGACTGAGTTATTAACCGATCAGGGCGGGGTTGTTATAGCCGCTAAAACAACAACAACAACCATTCATGGCATGATACCAGATAAAACGAGCTCAGCCCCTTTTGATATGCATTGGCTGAAATGCTATTGATAGCGTCCGCCATCATCAGGAGATGTCGCATTGTATTTATTAAACCCTAAGTTAAATAAGTATTTGACGGTCGCCGTGTTGTAGTGGTAGCAGTGTGCGCAACCATTCCACATGGCCTGGGCTCAAGCCCGGTTTAACCCTACACCCTAAACCCTTTTTTGTGTTTTTTTTGTAATCTAGAAGTGCAAGAAAAATCTACTTAACCCAGTGGGAAAATGTAATGTATAGTAATCGAAAGAATAATCAGTAAAACAACCCTTTTCACATTCGCAAAAGGCATTTTTTTCGCCAGGGCGATGTCCTAAGAAAAGTGGGGCATTCAGTTTTGCATTACCTAGTATCGAGAAATGAATGTGTTTTAATATGAAACGTTTGGAACTTTTTGAATACATTAGAATTCTAATTACAAAGTTAGCAGTAATATTAGCGAGAACTTATAAGAAATACATTATATTATTTATCACGCATGTAATACATCACTACTTTTCCGACTGGGAAGTCACTGACTTATGTTGTTTAAGAAATTAACCTCTATTACGCGGTGTTATTTGAATAGGAACGAAGCGTTTACTGCAAAAAAGTATGTTGGAAAAAAATTTGACATGTGTGATTTTTGAAATGACCGATTGAATTATAAGCATCTATGCACATCTATGCTCATTTCAATAATCCGTGACAGCGTTTTCACGGTACACTTCTCTTGGCTTTACTCAGTTTTTACTAATAATTACAATTTTGTTTTACCATTTTTAATATACAAGCTTACGTCTATCTGAATATAAGTACATAAAATACTCGTATTTGTATACATTCATAACATTTTTTTTATAAAAAACGGTAAATATTAAAAAGAAAAATTTTGCATTAAAAAAGGCTTGAGTGCCAACAAACTATGCTAATCGAAAAATCGGAAAAATGCCAAAAATTGGCAAAAAACGTAATTTTTCATCTTTTGTTAACTGCTCAAAAAGCTGCCAGCTTAAACGGAGAACAATAGTCTGGTGACAAACTTTAGTATGATAGACAAATGCATTTTACACTATTTTTTGCACTGTTCCATTGTTAAAATTTCCATTCAATGAACGACAAAAATATCATCATTGATTAGTGGTATCGATATAGGTATTTAGTTTTGTCAGCGTTTTAACTATAAATTTTGCTTTATTTTCTTATAAATTTTTATATTAATAAATACATAGTAAATACATAAAAATATTTGAATACATCGAATACATTGAATATAGCGACAATTAAATTTGTATACCATGAAACTGTTAGTACTTAATCGGAAATAAACAACTAAACTTAAAGAACACGATATCCAATAATTTTAAATTTGCCTATTATTGAAACATTTTTGCAAATAAAAACAAACATTTAAGTAATTATTCTACTTGTACCTACTCTTATTTCTAACCTCCAGTGATGCCTTGCATATAGATATCCTGCACCGTTGGTATGACGTGTTGGAACTGCCTTCGTTTCGGTATTGGCTGCACATGTGGTAAACGTGTACCATTAAGAGCATTCAAGCTTGGCGTGAAATCATCATTGTCATCTTCATCGTCTTCGTCGGTGCTTGCTGCCGTTATATGCCCCGACTGAAGTGCTGCCGACTGGTAATTTTCAAAGTGTACTCTTTTACGCTTCACTGGCTCCACCGGTTTCCGCCATGCAATTGTTTCTGTGTGCTTATCGTTTTGTTTGGCTGCGCGCGCGGCAGCTGCCGTTTCGCTTGTCGATGGTCTTACATCTAGTGAAGAATTTTGCGAACTATCTCTACTCATTGGGAGGACTTCATAAGTAGCTAGCGATATCGGTGCATTCGTTGGTTCCAAAACTACACTGCTATCATCACTAACAATCAGTGATGCTGAAGCTGCTAAGTCTTCTCCTCTAATGTTATTGTCTCGATTCTCTTTCTCTTCCCCAACATTGATGATATCCTGGGATGGTCCCCGCAGTTGAAAGGGTGCATTCTCTTTCACAATGTCACGCAAATGTTTGGTGCGCGGTGTACGGTAAACCAAGCGATCGAAATCGTCCAGCGATGAGGAAGATGATATTGCAAGTGATTTGAGTTGATTTTTCTTTTCAATAGCGCATCTTATTTTGTATTCATAAATGTTTTCAAGACTTATAGCACATTTGGCACAAACTAGACTTTCCTTCCGAAAGTCCACTTTACGCTTGCGCGCGAATTCCAAAAGTTTCGGATTGCTGATAACTACACCTTCGCCATCTAATAAATGGCCGTCAGAAGAAATGGCACACCGTTCTCCACGAATTCGTACCATTGCCCTAAATGCAATTAAATTAGTTCATATTTTACAATTTCACTTTATTTACAATTCCAATTCTAATCGTTGCTAGACGAAAAATTTGCATCAAGAAAATGCATTTTGACGCCGTTGCGGATATATTTAAATGCAATCAGCTGACGGTCACTGAACGTGCGCTTTTGTGTGAGTGAGTGTTGCCGTTTAATTTTCGTACTCTTTATAATAACGGGGCCGTACGTAAGAGGTTTGATAGATGAATTAGAGAATTGTATTAATTTTGCGATGAAAATCACTGTACAGAGAAATAAAAGTACATTTCCGCAGCAAGCTTTTCAAGCGTTTGGTTCTTTTCAGGCTTTCAGCTACACAATTCAGCTATTGCGGAAAGCCTAAAAAACGCTGAACGCCTGAAAAGCTTGTTGTGGAGCTGTACTCTTAATATTTGTCCTCGGTTGACAATTGTACATGACGTAGGGGAGGGCATAATAAACAGGTAGTAGGTAATAGCAGAGCAGCTGTTTTGATTTGTTTTAATTATTTGATCTCTAAACTGTCAAATATTTTTACTTTTTTCAACAAAAGCTCTTCAATGGTAAAATGTATTTTCATGTAAATCTCCAAAAAAAGCGATTAAAATCTGCCTTTATAATGTTTGCTTAACTCAGGAGAAAGTACTTAGATAACAAAAAGGGGCAACTCATTAGGGGTCTTCATCAAAAGTGATGAACTCTTGATAAACTTGATAAAGTGATAAATTTATCATTTTGATAAATGAACTGTCAAACTTTGTATGAAAATCTATTTAACCAAGTTTATCACTTTATCAAACGACTTTGGCGGATAAATGTACACTTACAGGTAGTCGCTTTCGCTACGTACACAATGTACGAGGTAAGAATGAAACGTAACAAAATAAAAGTAAATGTTTTTGTTCTAATGTTCTAATAATAATGTACCTTGATGTGGGCAACATAAGAATCTTGGATTGGACTCGATGCCGAAGAAACAGAAGGGTTCAGTTCGTCCCTGTTGCATCAGGAACAAAAATCCCCAGGGCTTGGAAAGTAGTCTGGGTGAAGTTTACACCGAAAGCTGGAAAAATATCTCATGTCTGTCCCGGGGATTTCAGACCAATCAGCCTCTTCTCGTTTTTGATTACAGTTCTGGAGGTTCCTAACTATTGCCTCTCGGGAGCTTGCACACAATTGTGACGTCGATTGAGGAAGCATTCATACATAAAGATTTCCTCGATATTTAGGGGGTCTTTAACAATGTACTATCGGGGCAATACTCACATCCCTGAGAAAGCTTAGGGTCGAAGCGGACCTTCATAGGCTCATACACTGCATAACCAATGGCAGAGTTTTCGCGGCGAAGTGGGTCACCATCCAGCGTGTGGTAAACAGGAGCGCACCCCTGGGTGATGGCTTATCGCCTTTTCTCTGAATCGTGATCGTAAACAACCTTCTTCAGGAATTGGCGAGTAGTACGTGTCGAGTGATTGCCTATGCGGATAATATACCATGTTTAGTGACGAGCAAATTTTTGGGTACCTTCTGGGACTTAACTCAGTGGCACTTCAACTTAGTGACTAGATGGTCACTAGGAGGTATAAGGTGCACCAGTAATAGCCTCCAGAAGTACGTTGTTGGACGCGGCTTTATTATCCAAGATAGCTACGAGACAGAAGTCCTTAACGCTGAGGGACTTCTCTATATAAGCGACCAAGCTACGAAGTGCGGTGTTCGCAGTAGATAGATTTACTCTTTCGCTATTCCTGTTGGCCATCAGACAGTAGACGATTGTAATAATAATATTTTCAGGTGTCGTAAGAGCAAAGGAGAAATGCTGGTGGGCCTAAGGTCCTTGGGGTTAATATGTTATGGCTTTTGGAATAAAGACAACCGGCTTTTAAAATATGTGAACACTATTTCGTAGACCCCACCAGTGTATTAATTAGTTGTGCAGGCATTAACTTACTCATATAAATTTAAAAACTCGCTGAGTCATAGTTGATCAAAGTCAAAATTTTTAAAATATTTGCAATTTTAAAAAATAAATTTTTTCAAACCCTGATATCGACCCGACCTTTTTTTTTAACCTGGAACTTTTCGTAAAAGTTTTTATTTATTATTTTTACGAAAATAGAACAAAATAAAGGGGTGCCCCATTATGTTGATAATTTAAGGACAACCCTACTATACAGCTCGATAATATTTTGGATAATTTCCATTATAAATACCTGCGTGCTTATGTTAATACAATACTCTTAATAATCGCCTCTCTTGTCTGATATTGTTTAATAAACAATTAATTAAAAGTTATGTTTTTTATATACTTTCAGAGTACAGTCTCGTTTTTTTGTTAAGCAAGTGCAGTATGTCTCAGATAAAAGTAAATAAATTGCAATGGTTTCGATTGCCAATGGAAATAAAAGTACAATGGCGTACTTTAAAGGACTGTTATAAATTAAACTAAAAAAGAACAAAGGCAAACTTGTATAAATTCCTTCAAACATACACATCTACCTATAAATACAGAAATTAAGTAAATTAAATTAAATTCAATTCAATTAAACGCAAAAACTCTAAATGAGAGACCAACTAATTTAAAACAAAAAATTTAAGGTTACTATCACAACGCAAAAAAAAACCGTAATTGTCTTCCAAACAAAAAAACAAACCAACCAAAAAGAAAACTCCATAAGTCCAAAAGTTCACCAAACGAGCAATGGAAAAACTTGTGGAAAAATACGTCGGTAACAACAAAATTAGTCGAAATTTTCAAGCTAAACTCCAAGAAGTATCCGAAACAGTAGCAACGACCAAGAACTATACTCTGACACACCGTACCAGAAGTGCAACACTCAAGAACTACAGTCACAGCACAATTACGAGAAACAACGAAAATTCTGAACAACAATCAAAGCATCGACAAGAACCAACTCCAAGCCAGCAACAGTATTATGTGCGAAATGCAGCCACTAAAGGAACAATACAACAACAACCACAGCTAACGCCTACTGTCGACTATTTCCGCTTTTCCGCTTTGTATGCACTCGTAGCGAATTCTGCTACCGTTGCCACGTACAATATGCGTGACGCGTATGCGTGCGTGACTACCTACGATGAAGTCAACAGCGACGGTGGCGCCGACGACAATAGTGGCAACGACTATATGCCACATCATCATAGCACACGACAGCGGCGTATAGCTGCAATGACCGCTATAGGATTAAGCCGCAACCATATAAGCCTTACACGAAAATCGCAGCTTAGCAACAGAGTTTTGCGAGCGGCATGCCTACGAAGTGGCACTCGTCAACAAAGTGTTATATCTGCTGCTGCAGCCGCTGCCGCGGGAGGTGTCTATAGTTGCGGTCTCTTCAATACGATTGGCACTGTCGCCGGAAACGGAACAAGCTTTGCTGGTGGTGGCAGCGGCCTAGATAAGCGTAGTCTTTTCTATTTGACGCTCGTATTTTTCATCTATTGTGGTGCAATGATGCGCGCCTCTGTGGCGGCGACAGCCATTGCTAATGCGACACATAACAATAACATAAGTGACAGCGACGAAGATAAAGCGCCAATAGCAGCAACGGCGGCGGTGGCGGCGTCCTTGACACCAATCGCTACTCCTATTGAAAGCGTAATGTTGATTGATAGTAGCGTGCAAGATTCGATAGCATCCACAACAGCATCAACATCTGCTACGTTACCATTACCTGTCATCAACTTGACAGCTGCTATTGCGCATAGTAGCCCCAATGTTTCATTATTAGCCGAAGCGGAGCCACCGCCGCCGCCACCACCGCTGCATTTTGTGGTGGACGCGTTCGCAAAAGATCTAACGTATATACAACGCGTTGCAAAGCGCGATACCGCTCATGTGCCTGATGATGAGGATGATTCCGCTTATCATGACGACGAATTTGATGAATACGAGGCTTTAATAAATAATAGATCTGGTGAGTAAGAAACTCTTATATTTGAAGAATATTTATTTTTGTTTTCGATTTGTATACGATTTTTTCTACTTCACGCGCGAAATGAGATTAATACCCATGCACCAGCGTTATTTTCTGCTTCCTACTAACTCGTTTTTAACTCTTATTTCATCGTTTTTGCTCCTACCGCTGCAAATAATGGTTTAGGCCCTGCCTCCCTAGCTAATTCATCCGCTACCTCGCCAGAGTAAATGTTGCATATATGTAATGACTAGCGCCTTTCTGAGAGGTTAAATTGAGTTTAGAAGACACAGCAGCGGTCCGGAAGCCATAAGAGCCCTGATTAAGCCCTGCACGAGTGAACTGTCACAACGGAATGGAGCAATGCCTCTATCCAGCGCAAAGTGAACAAAGGTACCTTCCATACTTTCTCTAGATAGTCGTGATAAACGATGTCCTGGAGAAGTAAGAAAGGAGAGGATGCCAGGTTATTGCCTACACGGATTATGTGACACTCATTGTTAGAGGAAAGTTCTTGGACTCTCTGTATGATCTTATGCAAGGGTGCTTAAAATTGGTCACATATCGGTCTGCTTGCTACAAATCATTGAAAGATGGAGTTCGTACTATTTACCAGGAGGTACAAAGTGACTCATGCCCAACTTCCCTCAACAGAAAGTGTTTCACTGGCTCTCTCTGACAGGGTCAATTTCTTGAAGGGGAAGTTATCATGGAAGCCAAATAATGAGGAGCCAGTAAAAAGGGCATCAGTGGCTCTTTAATGCTGAAAGAATTCCATAGCTATTGTCTGGTGGTATTCGCTAATCATGTTAGAGCTCGCGAAAAGGGCGGCCCTCGTTGTAATCAACGGAGCGCTCCGGACCACTCCTACTCTGTCGCTAAATGCTATGTTCAGTGTCGCACATGTTGACATTGCGGGCAGAGCGGCGGTGGTTCGCTCAGCGATTACACTACGTATGCGCACTCAATAATTCTCAAAAGCTTCGACTTTCTGCCAGAAGAAATGGATCGGAGTGTTCCGAGGCTGGCCCCAAATGGATCCTTTTCCACGTACATCCCTCCAAGGGGCGAATGGGATAACGACAGTTTTTGGAGTAGAGGTCCAATAAACATCTTCACAGAAGGATCGAAGCTGAACGGAAGAGTTGGAGGAGGTGTCTACTGTCAGCAACTTGCAATAAATCTTACGTTCAGACTGCCGGATCTATGCAGAGAGGCAGCCGATTGGCTACGAACCAATGTTTTGCCGACTAGGAGGGTAAATATCTACTCTGATAGCCAAGCGGCAATCGGGGCGCTGGGATCGCTACTGGTATGATCGAAAGTGGTCGGGGAATGCCTGAACTCTCTCTCAACCGCTTTAGAATTCTTCCAAATGAAACCAATTTAGGTCCCAGGAAACAGTGACACTACTGGAAATGCAGGGCTAATGATTTGGCTAGGAAGGGCACCCTCGAGGCCATCACCTCGGATAGGGAGGGCATAGGAGTTCCGTTGGGAACCTGCGGCCTGCTGCTAGACAGATGGGCTCACAGTCGTCTCAGCAAGCGCTGGACGAAAACCCCGACATGCAAAGTTGTAAGGTCCTTTTGGTCGCTCAGANGCGGCCTGCTGCTAGACAGATGGGCTCACAGTCGTCTCAGCAAGCGCTGGGCGAAAACCCCGACATGCAAAGTTGTAAGGTCCTTTTGGCCGCTTGTTGACCGCAGTCGCTCAGGTACGCTTTTCCAGCTGGCTAAGCACCAGTTATCCATACTTACAGGTGCACAGATAGGACACTGTCCTTTAGGAAACCGCGCGGTATGACTCGTCACGCATCACTACTGCCGAAGTTATTTAGAAGACGAGCTGGAATTATCTCAGCTGCCCGGCATTAGCTAGACTGAGGTTTGATCACCTCGGTGCGCATTTTATCAACACTCCCGACAAGCTCTCCGAAATTGGTCATGAGCTACTTGCGAAACTTCGTTTTGAGCACCTAGCGCTCTCTTAGTTTAACACAGAGAACGTGTATTTACCGTTAAAAAAAAAAGTTTGTATAATGTTGTAACCTAATGGACAATCTAATTAATGTCTAAGTGAGTCCCTCGGGGTCTGCCACAATAACCTAACCTAACCTATTCATCTGATTTCCTAGTTCATATAGCGTCGAGGAAAAATCTACAAGTGAGTTATAGGGTTGCCATTCACTAGCTTTTGTTTGAACAGTTTTGCATAGATCATTCATTCTTGGCTATGCTCGATAAGAAGACTATATTTATTTAAAAATAATACTTGTACATATGTATGTACACTTATTTGCTGTATGACTTAAAATATCTATTAGTATACATAAGTACATGTGATTGTAATATTTTTATTTCAGCAAAAGGCAAATACATCGGTGCTCCCTGTTTTAGTGACATGACATGCGAAACTACATTATTGCATGTCACGTGTGATAAGGAGACAAAAACCTGCGGCTGTGAAAAAAATTACCCAGTACAGCTTGGACTAACCAAAGGTTGCGACAAGCGTAAGTTGAAGGATTTCGGAACTGAAATTTACACATATCGACATCTGAGTGGAAGATCGATTCAAAAACGCTATACATATCTCAACATATTTTCAATATATTTTCAGTTGATATAGGGCGTTTTTGAACCAAATTCTGAGATAGGACGTGCTTGAAAAGTGTTCTGAGATAGGTTNACCAAAGGTTGCGACAAGCGTAAGTTGAAGGATTTCGGAACTGAAATTTATACATATCGACATCTGAGTGGAAGATCGATTCAAAAACGCCATACATATCTCAACATATTTTCAATATGTTTTCAGTTGATATAGGGCGTTTTTGAACCAAATTCTGAGATAGGACGTGCTTGAAAAGTGTTCTGAGATAGGTCGATCTTCCACTTAGGCGTCGATATGCACACGTGTGTCTTTATGTATGTATGTAACTTCCGCTAATTGCTCCAAAAATTTATGTTACAGCTAAAAAACTGGGCGAGCAGTGTTTCTACGATGAAACTTGTATGTATAACGATGAAAATTCCCTTTGTGTTCAGGTGCGACACAATGCTATGTGTCAGTGCGCACATGGTTTCCATTCTGTAAGTCACACAAAGCCAACTCGTCGCGTTTTTTGTACGAAAGGTGAGTTAATAATGTCGGATTTCCACTGGACGTCACTGATCACAAATTTGTTTTATTTAAATGTTGGGTATAAAAAATACCCGTGCCATTACGTTCATAAAAATAGTCACTAAGTTCGTTTCCGCAAGGTTAAGGGGCAAATATTTTNAAAGGTGAGTTAATAATGTCGGATTTCCACTGGACGTCACTGATCACAAATTTGTTTTATTTAAATGTTGGGTATAAAAAATACCCGTGTCATTACGTTCATAAAAATAGTCACTAAGTTCGTTTCCGCAAGGTTAAGGGGCAAACATTTTTTGTAATTTCAATGCCTAGTGGAAACTTGGCTATACGCTTAGTAAGTGCATTAATGTACTCTATGGTAGCTCAAGGCTAGTATAATTTTTCCCCAAAAGTAAGATTTTTTATAGGAAATTTAAGGTTTAGATTCTAGAGTTCATTTGATCATGCCCATGCCCTTTGTAGAATAGGCTTCAGTTTTCTGGGTGACCGCCTTTTCGATGGCCCTGTCAGTCTAACTATAATCTTATCGGAAGAGCGGTTAAAATTTGTTGAAGCTTCTGAATGGTGACAGGTAATAAGATCAACCGAAATAAGGTCAATTGACTTTATTTCCCACCCTGGTACGAAATAAAGTCAATTGACATTATTTCCTTTTCAAAAGCGAAATAAAATCCATTGACATTATTGCTCTTTCAAACATTAAATTTGCTTAGCTTCGCGGCGGCCCGCATTCGCGCGCCCCGCGTACCCCGCGCGACCAGCGCGCCACACCACATCACGCTACGCCTCGTCTCGTAACTTCCTGCTGTTGATCAGGACTGCCTCAGTCTTCTGGTGCTCTATTCCTGCTAATGTCAGCCAATCGCCTACCAGAAGAATTGCTGAGTGTGTCCTGTAGGATTTGCTCTCAAATCTGAAGCCGTTTCTCCGATGCTGTGAGCGCAAGTTCTTTATTGAGGTTCCAAAGCAGAGCAGGAGTCTTGCAAATTCCACCTGTGAACAATCCCGCCACTCTTGAAGAAGCGGCTTCCTGATGCCCAGCGTTATATGTATTATCATTCCAGATAAATTATCACAAATTTATAAAATCTACAAGATTAAAATAAGACCAATTTATAGATTGTTACTTGTATTTACAGACTTAAAGGAGCTAAGCTCTGATTTGCCTACACTATTGGGTGTCTCAACGGGCATCGCAGTGCTAGCCGGACTCATCTGTATGGTATTACATCTGTTCAGTAAAACGAAGTATCCTCGCCCGCGAAACTTTGGCGATGCTAATCTACCGCCACCCATTATGTACTCAAGTGAAACAGGTATGCCCAGAAATCGATTGCAACTTTGGTAGTTTAAAAAAATATAAACATTGTTCAATATTTAATACACCTTAAAATGCTAAAATACTTACCTCTGTATCACATCATAATTCACACAAACACTTCCCTCCTTCCTTTGTATTGTCCAATTTATGTTCTAGAATCTAGAGNGAGCGCAAGTTCTTGATTGAGGTTCCAAAGCAGAGCAGGAGTCTTGCAAATTCCACCTGTGAACAATCCCGCCACTCTTGAAGAAGCGGCTTCCTGATGCCCAGCGTTATATGTATTATCATTCCAGATAAATTATCACAAATTTATAAAATCTACAAGATTAAAATAAGACCAATTTATAGATTGTTACTTGTATTTACAGACTTAAAGGAGCTAAGCTCTGATTTGCCTACACTATTGGGTGTCTCAACGGGCATCGCAGTGCTAGCCGGACTCATCTGTATGGTATTACATCTGTTCAGTAAAACGAAGTATCCTCGCCCGCGAAACTTTGGCGATGCTAATCTACCGCCACCCATTATGTACTCAAGTGAAACAGGTATGCCCAGAAATCGATTGCAACTTTGGTAGTTTAAAAAAATATAAACATTGTTCAATATTTAATACACCTTAAAATGCTAAAATACTTACCTCTGTATCACATCATAATTCACACAAAGACTTCCCTGCTTCCTTTGTATTGTCCAATTTATGTTCTAGAATCTAGAACCTCCCAATTCCATCGATTTACCATTTAACTCACTCGTCACTATTGTCTACTTTTGAATCTGATATGCCTTAACCGATTCCAGGTATACCATTGACAGTACAATCGGGTCGTCCATCATCGCGTTCTAGTCTCCGTTCGAGCGGCTCAATCGGTTCCTATGGCAATCGACGTGCTTCATCCGGTGGTGCTACAATTGCCGGCGGCCACGGTGGTGGGCATGGTGGTGGCGGAAGTAGCGGTACGAAAGGCATACTCGTCTCTACATCACGTACAGGTGCGGCTAGATCGGCCGCCATATTGCTTATATCGTGTCATTTGACGGAGCTCGCGAAAGAGACAGCATTGCGCACCACAACGTCGCGTCAAACTTCGGGCGCTGGCTGCAGCGCGAATTCGCGCGACAATCTGGATGAGAATGGCTCGGGCGGTGGTGGTGGTGGCACAACCGGCGGCAGCGGCAGTCGCAGCTGCGACAGTACGTTGTCAATGACGCGTCACCTGCAGAAGCAGTTGAACCATCAGCGTCATTTGCTAAGTCTTGAGCTGTCGCCGGCAAAAACGAAAAATAACGATAGAATTAGAACATTGTTGGGCATTAATGGAATTGATAATTATAGAACCGATGACGATGATGAGTTAAATAGTTTAGATCATAATCACCTGCAAATTGGTGCATTGCCGACACCGGCCAGTGAAACGCCTAGATTTGCGGTAAACATACGCTATCTTTCTCTCAAATCTTTCACTGTCACTGTCACTGTCTCTCTGTGTCTTTCTCGCTATATTGGTCACTCGATATATTGTACTCTAACTCTCTCTCTCTCTTTATTTATTGAAATACAGACACATTTACATATACATACACATATACTACCGGCACAAAACACACAAACCCCCGTACACTTGCCGTCAACAACACTACTCAATTGCAATAGTAATAAACTGCCTTATTTGCCCTATAATGTAGGGTTTATTTTTTGTAAGGATAACACACAAAGAAAGCTCTCGAAATTTACTCGAAAGACATTTGATTAGAATGATATTTAGAGAAGGAACGTAAATAGTTACCGCGATCAAGGAGTACCTATCGTAACCAACCTCTATTTGGTTACAGGTCTTCTTTGATCCACGTATCGTTAAGTAACGTCGCGAGGTCCCATGGCTGAATTTTATTCTGCTAGGTACGGTGATGCTAGGCAGAAAAGTATAAGCTTAAGGCATTTACATGGGCACATTATATACTCAGTCGTTTCCTGTTCTGTTTCATAATCCTGTAGTAGGCAGCAAGAACGCCTATAACGATTCTCACTTCTTTCCGATACTTCTTTATCCACGATCCCGCTATGTTTCGGTACACAAATGAGGTAAATACAATTTCTGGATGCGATCAGTGTTAAGAGCTGAAAGCAAGCCCACGGCAGATTTCAGGTGAACTGGTGTTCATCTANCACTTCTAAGCAAGTTAGGATTTTCTGCTTTTCACCACGTGAAAAAGCATCTCATCTTCCATCCGAATCAACCAAAAAGTGAAAATTGATTTTTTGACACCTAAGCCCCCTTTCCGTAGACCAGGTCACATATAATGATTATTGATAGACTTCTATTCTATTGAATCATTACACAAAATCATGTTTCAAACCTAATTGTTACAAATAATTGGCCATGTGGTGCCCAGACCATAAATTATGATCCACTCTAGAGGCTCCGAAGGCGGCAAAGAGTGAATGTGCGTAGCCTATGGCCTACATGTGTTTTAATCTTCCTCTCGCAACTGCATCGAACTCCAAACGAATGTTTCTGCTGCCATATCGCAATAACGGCAGGAGTCATCTGTAATTATCCCCGAGGGTGTTCACATGTCCCTGGGGCTTGCAATAACTGCCTAGCAGACCTGTTATAAATCTAAGGTTTGTATTTTGGATAATGATTAGTTGCCCTAGATCTCTTGGTCAGTCGTGTTCTCCCAATGTACTCTACTGAGATGACGCTTTTCTGGTCTTAACTCTTTCCTGATGGTATGATCCTGTAATCCTTCTTCTACTACTCTATCAATCTCTTTGTTGCCTTGTATATGTTTGTGGCCCGGGATCTCCGTCCGTTGTACAGTGTTGTCTGCACCCAGGGTGTTCAATCTCGCTACAAAATTCAGATAATACACGTGGTATTGATCTCACACGAGGATATGGCTTTTAGTGCAGTTTGATTGTCGCTGCCGATGGCAATGTGCTGTCACCTTAGATGTCTTTATGGAGTTACTTCTACACAAACACTGATGACATAACCATCCGCATATAGGCCATATTGTACATATGTACATATATAGAGTAGCCGACACTGTTGTCGAAAAACACATTAACTATTTCTTTTTAAATATTATTATTTTTTTATTTATATACATTTTATTCTAAACAACCTGTAGTTTCACGCAACCTCGCATTCCTAATTATTTAATGTACACTTAAAATCTAATTTCCAAGTGCCAGCTTAAGCTAACTTTAGTGATAAAGTAAGTTTAAGCTCTCAAAGTCGCAGTGTTAAGAAAATAAAAAAAATAAATACACTGCAGATTAACTTGCACTGACGAGATATTACAAATGGGTCCATCTATGTCAAATCGACCAATTTTGATTTGATGAATTTTGGTGTTTTACCATATAACAAAATTCTGCCAAAGGAAAAAAATTAATTTTTGTTATACAATGCCTCTATTATTCTGAAATTTTTAAGGTGTTCTTTTTAAAATGAATTTCGAACTAAAACAATTTCCAAATTATAAATAAAGGCATGTTAAACCATTTTAATTTAAATTTATTTTTAATTTGTAGTTTGCCAAAAAAGTGCATTCTGCCGAGAGAAAACAATTTAATTTTTCGAAGGTTATGCAAATTTCTAAATTTCACAATTTCCGGTAGTTTGCAAGTTTTTTTTTTATATCTAATAATACAAAATATCTATAATTTCAAAAACTTTGGGTCTCTTTGTTTTGTATTTTTAATTTTTATTTTTTATTTTTTTATATATGTATGTACATAACTCCAAAAATCAGCTTTAAAGCGAGACCAGAAGCATTTTTAACCGACTTCAAAAAAAGGAAAGGAGGGAGGATGCTACCAATTCGTCAGAATAACTTTGGACCATGTTAACCGAAGAAATTAACGGTACTCTTAAATTTGCATATGAGAATTGAAGTCAGTTTTATTTTTTGCTGAAAAATTACTTGTTGTAACTACATATAAGAGTTTTAAGACATTGAAAAAATTAACTCGAAAAATCTGGGAAATTGTGAAATATTTAACTTTCGAAAATAATTTTTTTTCTTTGGCAGAACTCCGTTGTAAATAAAGATTCTGACCAAAATTCGTCTAAATCAATAATGGTCGATTGCAACTATTGGTCGATTTGACATACATATATATTATATACTATGTATGTATATAAAAATATATAAGAATTCCAAATTGCTGCACACTTATCAACGAAATTACTAACAAACACCCACTTTCACGAAAAAAGTCCAACAAATAATGCTAATTCTATTACCTATGACTAATGCCGAATTTCCTCTCGGCATTATATTGACAAAAAATATTTGCCATTTAAAAATGCCATGTGGAAAAAGAATATTTTTATAAACGTAATGGCGAGGGTATTTTCGAATACCCAACATAGTCATTAAAAATGCTGTAATTTAATGCCTACTGGAAATTCAGCATTATACAATACATAAATTCATTAAAAACAACTTTCAAAAAAACTCAAAGATTTAAGGTGTGTCATGAGCTGAGCAAAAATTAGTTAAAAAAATATTACTACAGTATTGTTAATGTACATTTATTGGTAATTAATAGTAAATATTTATATGATGATTTATTGGTGTTACATGTACTTTGTGTTGTATAAAAAAAAAGTAATTATCATTTATAAAAAAACTTGTTTAAATTTTATAACACGGTTTTACAAACTTTATCACACAATTACAACAAAAAATTGCGTTTATTTTAAATTAATATAAAAATTTAATGCAGTGGTGAATTTTCCTGTGATAAAATAAAAATTCAAATGTTTTATTTTTTCGCCGTTTCTAGTTTTTTAGTGCATATGTCTCTTAGTGTATGTACGTATGTATGTATGTATGTGTATGTATGTACTTAATTTTGACTGTCAAACTTGTGTGTACTATAACATTTAAATAATGCCTTTTGTTACACTTGAAAAGTACTCGTAAGTTCATCGCTTCAGGTTTTATACTTTGTCATATTCCATTTCTGATATTAAAAAAACGAAATTGAAAAACAAAATTAACTGTATTTAAAAAGTTAAAAAAGCGTTATTCATATATTTTTTTTAGAAACACAAATGCAAAAGCAAAGTACAAACAACGTTGCAAAATGTCGCGAAAATGTTGTAACTCGTAACAGAAAAGCAATATGGCGGTGACTATGTTCCTACCAAGCAAAGTATTAAACAATTTAATTTCTTAAATTATTTTATTTATATTTCTTCACTGCAAATGAATGAATGAACGCATATAAATAATATTTAGTACTTTTTAATATTTACATTATTTTTAACTTTGCGCATATTTTTCATGGCATCTTTTTCCATTAATTTCATGCTAATTCCATTCCAAGTCAAATTGATGGCAATAAAAGCAAAACAGGCAAAATGCTAGTTTAATCGCAAATTGACAAAATTTGAAAAAATAAAATCCTCATACATTGGAAAATTTAGCATTCATGAGCTCTAAATTTTTGTTTTTCAAAACGCACTGAATATGAACATATTTTTATCTTAAATATTTGCTTAATTTACATAAAGCGATGTTGTATGTTTTAAAATTATGTATCCAAGTGTGCCGGATAAAATGGGACTCGAAATTTGAAAGAGATTTTTTTTTATTAACTATATATGTTTTTAGTTTTTAGCCAAGAAGTAGACTATCTTAAAATAATTTTCAAATAATGAAACATAAGCATACTCATTTAGGCCAATTTCAGATGCCGTTTAATGATTAAATACTATTCTTTTTCAGATCAAATATTTCAACTCTATGGGAATAAGATTAAGATAACGATTTAGAATAAAATTTAAGTTAAGATTAATATTAAGGAAAGAGATCAAAATACTTAAACTCTTTTAAGATTAATATTAAGATTACGATTAAGATTAAGATAAAGATTAAGAATAAAATTTAAATTAAGATTAAGGTTGAGATTAAGATTTGTTTTGCATTGATGGTGAGGTTGGGATTAAAATTAAGATTAAGAATAAATTACTATTAAGATTAAGGTTAAGAGTAAGATTAAGATTAAGATTAAAATAAAGATTAAGATTAATATTACGATTATGATTAAGATTAAAGTTAAGATTAAGATTAATGGTAAGATTAAGATTAAAATAAAAAATTGAGATTGAGGATGTGATTAAGATTACTATTAAGATTAAGGTTAAAATTAAGGTTAAGATTAAGATTAGGTTAAGACTATGATTTAGATTACGAATTAAACTACGATTAAGGTTAAGATTACGCTTAAGATTAAAATTTATATTACGGCTTTGATTACGATTAAGATTACAGTTAAGATTAAGAATAAGGTAAAGATTGTGATTGAGATTGAGGTTGGGATGAAGATTAAGATTGGGAGTGGGGTTAGGATTAATATTAATATTAAGATTAAAATTAAGATTAATGTTAAGATTAAGACTTATATTAGATTCGATTACGATTTCTATTAAGATTAAAGATAGAACTATGAATAAGATTAAGTTTGAGATTAAGTTTAAGATTAAGGTTAAAAGTGAGACGAAGTTTAAGATGATTGAGTCAGAGATTGAAGTTTAGTTTGAGATTGAGAATCAGATGAAGATTGAGATAAAGTTTGAGATGGATGTTGAGATTACGATTTAGATAACTTTTCATTATTATACAGCTCTTTAGCAGTGAAATCTAAGATTTAGTACCTAATGTATTTCAAGGAACATTTCCAAACTTTTTCGAAACTCCTAAATAATCCAAAATGTTTGCATGTTATTAATCTCCGTTACCTGTAAGAGAGTCTACTTTTAGCGTGAATTTTCAAAAAAAAACCGATGCATTAAAACTGGCACACTTTTTTAAATTTATTTTTTTACTTTCGTTTCTTAATGCATTTTGTTTAGCTAAGAGGCGTGTATTTACTTGCTTAAATTGCTGCTAATTTTCTAATTTTTTCTATAACAAATAATTTTTTATTTACACGTATGTCGAAATGTACTTGTATTTGTGCTACTTTCTCAAGCAAACAAGTAATCTGTCGCTAATGCCCGAAAACGCTTAAAGCTTATGGAAATTTATATGTGTAGATAAGTCAAAAAGCGAAAAAAAATTATTTTTTTTTAATTATTAAAAAAAAAATTTTGTTCCCCAAACCCTCAAAATTTTAAAAAACCTAAAATTCGAGTTATTTAAAATTAATGGCGTTTTTAGCGTTACAATCACTTACAAATTTCCATAACTGGCGCTTTTTCTACGCCACTATCTTTCCACCTAAAAAAAACTTAACTGCATATGTACTTTCTCTGTAAATGTATGAGCTGTATACAATTTCCAATCTTTAATTTTCGCATCGTACTTGTCCTTATTCGGCTTTCTTCGTACACTTATCATGCAAAAAAGTGCTGATTTGGCAATGACTTGCACGCTACGCTTGTACGCCCAAAACTATCTAATTCTAACTAACTAACTAACTGTCCCACATATTTAGCCGCAGCGCCCTCAAAGCAACAAACAGCTTAAGCCTGAAATGTATTCGTTAAAAAGCAGTAGTTTTGCATCATTAGTAAGCAATAAGAAAAATAAAAGTCATAATTAGTGCAAAGAAGTATAGTAAACCACTTTCAAACTTCAATCGGCAAAATGTGCTTTTTCCAAACTAACCCAACTAGTGATACGAAACTTATGCTAACGAATTGCGTTTCAAATATCCTATACTTAATAATAAATATGAAAACCAATTTAAATAAATAAGTATTTTATGAGTGAATCTTTTTTTGTATCTTTTTCATGTAAAATAATCTGTCTACTTCTTCCCTTTCTTTACCATCCATACTCGTACATGCGCTAACACACACACACACAGGTTCTCGAAGACCAAGTCTAGCGTCGGTTCATAGTACTAGTTCGTCCGTGCGTAGCTATAGTATGATGCGTTTCGAGAAGGAAGCTCAACAGAAGGAGATCCGTCAGGAGATGAAATTACGTTTGGCGCGTCTACAACAACAACAACATCTAAATCAAAATAAACCGCAAATTGTAATTGGTGATACATTGCAACATCATATGGGTGCATCATCGGCGCTCAGTCGTTTGAGCGGTATGCCAACGCCGAGTCCATTGACACCAAATTCAATGGATGAACTACTACCATCGGTGGATGAGTTGCAAGAGGTGAGAGAGAGAGAGAGAGAGAGAGAGAGAGAGAGAGAGAGTGGGAGGGATTGGATGTGAAAAATGGTTAATGATTTTTATACAGCCAGTGTAAATTTCCAGATTGGTCATATCAAGCATAGCTTAGAAATGAATCAATTTATTCATGGCCTTAAACCCTCATCTAAAGGCTCACGTGATTCGACGGAAAAAATCACAATTATAAGAATGAGTTTTGCTTAAGAGATGTCCGCTCCTTTATTTAACACATATTTAATTTGAGAACAGTGTTGCCATTTATTTTTTTGCCGTCCCGCCAGATTTATAAACAAAAATCGCTAGAACCTCGCTAAATCATTTAAATTGTGTAAACAATTATGAAAAAATAGTTTCTTTTATAATTTAACAGTTCAATTTTATTTTATAAAATTAGAGATCAAATGTTTATAAAAAACAATAATAAAATGTATGTAGTCAATGCTAAACTTATTTGCAAAATTTTAGTGTAAGTTTCAAATGGTTAAGTTTCTTCAATGGAACTATAAATATAAAGTAAGGTCGAAATTTTTTTTAAATTCTTAACTTAAACTTAAACTTAACTTAAAACTGAAATTTCGGTGATTTTTTTTTATAAATTTATGGCCTCTTTCATAAAAAATAAAATAAAAATAAAAAGTGACGTTTTCATAAAATTTTTCGATTTATAAAAGCAGTTAAAGTATTTTGTATATTTTATGAATTTGGTTGCTAAACTTTAACGAGTACTTTTCCATTATATTTTGTGTTTTGGGGAGCCCTTTAATTGTTTTCAACTTGGTTTTATTATTTATAGAAATATGATAAACGTTTTTTTTTTCAAATTGCAACTTTCTCTGCACTGTGCACTAAATAACCTAATATGAACAAACAAAACTCAAAAAGCGGGCTCAACAATACTCTCCTGAATTTTATTAGATTTAATTCAAAAAAAAAAATATCAAATCGGTTGAAAAATAAGGGCTTTGAACCAAAAATTCTAGTTTGGCACCCCTGCGCGGCAGGAATATGTTTTGAATTCTCAACGAAAAATTATTAAGTGAGAACACAATAGACAGCCTGTGAATTACATAAGAAAGCCTTTGAGGCCCCCAAACCTAATCTAACCTAAACCTTTTCAAGTAGTTTCGGACCGTAAATACAAAATCAAGCACACACATACTTAATTTTATAAAGGAGAAACTGTATAAAGTATTCCCCCTTTGCTGGGCATGAAAAAATGCTTTGTTCAATTATCCTGCTAACCAATTAAGCGGAGCACACTCTATGGAACTTTTCATTTATGGGCCGATTCATTGGTTGAAATTAAGAGAGTTATTCTTTTCAAATATTTTCCAAACTGGTTTTCAAATAAAATTACAAATCTTAAACTGAATTCATTATCCATTCTCTACCCACAGTATCCACCAAAAAGTGACGATCTAGCGACAACAATACATAAAATGGCGGCCGAAAGTGTAGCCTCTTCAAAGCTAACAGCGATAAAACAGGCAGCGGTGGGTACCAGTGTTGCACTGACAACAACAATGGGCGCAACAACAATGGCGGCGGCGAGTACGGGTGCCAGTGGCAGTGGCAGCGGCTGCTTGGTAACACCGGGCACACCGTCAGATGGGGCTGGAGCGGCTGCTTATATTGGACCATGTAGTTCATCGACTGAAGCGCTCTAAAAAGTTATAAATAAGCGATATATACATACATATATGTATGTATATAAAACAGCCAGTAACGAAATATACAAAGTACGAGTACATACAATAACAAGGAATTAAAAACTGAGACAAGCTGTAGAAATTGACGAACAGCAAAAATTAGCGGCTTCAACTCGTAAAAAATATGTATCTATTTTTAACAAAGCAGCTAATGAAATTGTATGCTTAGGTGGAAAAAAGTTTAACAACTGCGCGCAATATAATTCTGCGTTAAAATTTAATAATAGGTTAAAATAAATATACTTTTTAGATTAAAATACAAATTTAGTGTATTGTATGCGATTTGCTAAATAAATTAGAAAAATTTATTGATTTTTTTTTTATGCAGCAATTGTATGTTGTAGGTTAGGTTCGTTTAGCGAGAAAATCAAATGATTAGCTAATTGTTGGTAACCATTAAAAGTATGTATGTAAATAAATTTTTTCTAGGCATACATACATACATACATTAAAGAGTTTGGTCCCAATATTTACAAATTTTGCAGTGCGGTTGGCAATTTAACAGTAAAAATCCGATGCAAGATTTTCAAATGCTGCTAAGTACCGGTCCTAGTTTAAAATAAAAGAACCAAACCTTTTGTTGGTTACATTTTTATATACATACATTTTTCTACACATGCATTAGGGGTGGCCCTTAAAAATATCAACAACTAAATTGTGTATAGCGGCACCCCTTTTCACTTGAAATTTGATGAACTTGACATATTATTGAAGCTTATTCTTATAAATACATAAACAAACTCACTGAGTTATAACTGGTCAAAGTAAAAATTTTGTTGATTTTTTACGAGTTAAAAAAAAATATTTAAAACCTGTTAGCGAATCGTGCAATTAATTTTGAGATTTTGAAATTTTCGTGGATGGTTTTATTTCGTAGGTAATCAAAGGTAAATTAAAGGGGTGCCCCATGATTTTGATATTTTAAGGACCAACCTAACATGCATACAGCAATTTTATTTTAATTTGAGATTTTATACGACAATGCTTTAACTATGGTTGTCTTAGATCTGCCGCCATTACCCACAAATGTGGTTTCAATTCAACACTCAGTTTCCATAGATAAAAAAACAATAACTATAAAACTCAAATAAGGAATACCTAAAACAGATTTTAAACGCTTTAAAAAAGAAAACTTGTATGAGAGTCACTTTATAAAGCTTTTCAAATTCTTTTCATTCCCTTCTATCTTTTATGAGTAGATATTAACCCATCATTAAGTCGCTTGAGTCGAATTTTTATTCTTTAAGGTTTAAGGAATAACGCACAGTGTCATGAGTGTGGCCAAAAATACAAAAATGCAAAGCTGCGAACCACGAAATCTGAGTAAGGGGTTTAATTGGCAAAGATCTAGCCAAGAAATATTTGAAATTTTACGGAAAAAGAATGAAAACTATAAGAGCTATAAGCTGTTAAATTAGTATGTGTTAAACCCCCTTTTAATTCACAACAAATCGGGTTATTTTTTCATAAATTTTGAAATGGAACATAATAAAACCAGAGAGCACTTAGTCAAAGTTTTCTTTTACCTTTTAAAATATGGAATATTTCTGATCTAACAATGTCAAAAATAAGTGCACATCTCTGATATATATATTTTTCCATCGCATCTAACAAAAAAAATACCAAAAATCATTTCCGATTTTTTTTCATATTTTGATTTGGCAAGTAAGTAGTCCAATATACAGAAAAAATTGCTGCATGGACCAGCATTTTGCGAATTAAATGCATTTTTCAGTGTCGTCCAGAATTCAAAAAAAAACAATAAAAATAAATAAATAAAATTTCTTCATGATTTTTTGTTTTCTTTATCACTTTTTCCAAATATTTTTATATGTGGTAGGCGTGTCTGAAGTCTATTCTCCTCCAAATTTCAATTTGAGATAAAATAAACCTACACACCAAATGTCATTAAAATCAGATCAGATTTCTTCTTTCTACAGTAAATGAAGGGCGTATAACGAACTACATCGAAATCGGACCAAGCTAACTATTTTTGGCTGCAGTTTATGTAGGATCGTGACACTGTGCGACGTAGTCTAAGCAGTCGTTCAGTCCTTTTACGATATTACTTTCCCTAGAAGGCTGCAAAGACAACTCCATGTAATTTTGAGTCTGTGCGCCGACTATTCTTCATAGCAAACATTTCACTTTTCTTATACATATATATCGGGCCCTAACCGCCAAAATAACGTAAGCGACATTTTTTTCAAAATTTTCTTTTTGATGCCGAAATGCATCTAGATGCTCTAGGAATATTTCTGCATCAAACAGAAAATTTCGAAAAAAATGTCGCTTACGTTATTTTGGCGGTTAGGGCTCGATATATTCCTATCATTTATCATTTAACAATTCAAAATTATTTTTTATTCGTGTTTTTAACTAACTATTCCAAATTTTGAACATAAAAGTATTTTTTGTACTCACTTAATTGTAGCTAATGTCAAGATAAAAGAATATAAAAATTAATATCGAAAAATCGCAATTGTTTAACTAAACAGGTAAACTAGTATAACAGTAATCTTAAGAGCTAAAGGATATAGATAAATTAAACTAGAAAATATTAATGAAGACTTAGTAAAAATAAAATTGAAAATTTTTTGGAATAAGTATTCAGAAAAATGTTAATAAATAAATAAGCGAATGAAAAATAAAAAACTGCAGTGGGCAAATGTCTACGTTTACTAAATAAGTAGATATATTTTAATTATGAAAAGTTATTGTAGTCAAAAGATAAAACGAGAAAAAACAATGTTTGAGTTTACATAAAATTTTATGCGAAATAATTTAAATCCCATTGAATTTTTATATGCATACATGTATATGTACGCAAACTAAATATATGTGTGTACATGTATGTGTGTACCTTTTGATGTACATATGTATGTAGGTACGAGTATACCTAAAAAATATTGTAGATATATGGAAATCTAGCTAAACTAATCTACGTTTGTGTATATTTAGATTCGTATAATTGCTAAGGATTTTTATATATACACACCCAAATTGTGGTCCTTATAACTGTAGTTGTATGTGTATGTACGTAAACGAACAAAATCGGCATGTGTTATTTATTGTTTAAAAAAGAAAATAAGAAAAATTTGTTAAAAACAAAAAATGTAAAAAAATAAAATAGGAATGTACCCATAAGCGTTGATATGAATTTTAGTTTTAAATGTAATCTTTGTGCGTCAGTTGTTGTATAGCGAAAAACTACCATAATTTTTTTTTAAATTTCTGAATTCGAAAAAAAAAATATTGAAAAACTATATGATTTAAAAATGTTGGAAAAACTTAAAAAATATTGACGGACTTGAATAGGATTTCTTTCCTGCATTTGGTGAAAATTTTAGCAAAAGTATGCCAAAAAAAGTTCTCAGTGAGTCGATTCAATCTGTGTTAGAACTTATTATAAGAACTACGACGCTGTAGGGCCTAAGTTAAATACCTGGTCAGCAGATAATACAAATTATGTCAGCACATAAAATTTTTGTCATTCTCGCGTCTATAATAGGAAGTTTGATAAGTTTGCCTTGAAATGTGTTTTTCCGACCCTGGGTTCCATGCTGGAGTGCAGAACTAGCGTTTTCTCGAATCCCCAAAGTGCAAGAAAAATTCTTCGGCCTGCCAAACTTCGAAACTCTTTTCGATGCAGAAGAATTTATTTGCTAAAAGTAGTAACCTTACTACAAATTCGCTGAAATTTCGTATATTCTCTATTTTGAACTTAGGAATGTATGGAGAATAGTAAAATATGGAGAATGCTAAAATATGAAGAAATCCGATTTTAATGAAATTCCGAAAATAAGCGGATTTTAACAAGGAAAACATTTTCCGAAAGAACGTAAAAATCGGTTAATATTTACATCCACCAACTCTAAACAATTGCCGCAATTGTTGAAAAATCATGTTTTGATGAAATTTGGTGTACCCTGTTCGTTCACTCAAACAGTTTCTAATTTGGGAAGATAAAGAAGAATTTCTCACTCCACCCTGCTACAAAATCATTTTGGCTTCAAGTACTAAATCTTATGAATTTTATGGACAATTAACAAAGCTATTTTTTTTAGCACTGGCGTGCTATTTGGGAGATTCCAGGTTCGAATTCTTGGGCAGCAGAATTTTTTCATTCTTTTTTAAATATGTTTTTTTTTCTAATTGTAAGATTGTATTGTTTTAAAAAGGAAAAATGTATACAGATTTTTTAATTTTATTCAATATTTCTTAACTTATTTTATACGTACATTTTTCCTTTTTTTGGTTTAACTTTATCTTTTTTATAAGCAAAAATGGTTTTCTTTTTAAACACTTTTCTTTTAATTTTTAGTTTTTATGATTGTAAAAAGAAAAACCTTTTTTAATTTTAGAACCTTAAAATATAAATTTTTAGAACCTTAAAATATTTTATTTAGTTCTCTTTTAATTTTCAGATTTCATTGTTTTAAATTAAAAATATTTATTATTAAATTTCATTTCATTTTTAGGAACTTACTTACTTATTTTCTATTTTAATAATTTTTTTTATATAATTTTCTTTTAGATTTTTTTACTTTCTTTTTATTACATTTATTTTTTAGGAGTGAGTTTATTTTTTCTTTCTTCACTTTTGTTTTCAGATTTTATTATTTTAAAAGGAAAAACTATTTTTAATGTATGTATCTAGAAATTTGTTTTAAATTTTTTCTTTTTTAATTTAGTTTTTTTTTAAATATCTAGTTTTTGTTGTTTTAAAAAGAAAAATTAATTTTTTTAAATTTAATTTATTTTTATTTTTTTAACTTTTTACCAAAAGGCAATCAAAACAACCCTTAAGACCACGTCAGACGACTGGTGCATTTGTATATATCTTTTAATGGTCTATTGGTACAAAATAAAAAAGTTTAAAAAATATTGGGACGATAATTTTTATATTTTATATTTTTTTTGTAATCACACGATTGGTAAAATACAGCGAACTTCTATTGAAAAATGTGTACAAACTGTTTGTCGTGATTAGGATAAAGACAACTATTTCTGCATTCACACGATTGGGTTACGATTTGAACCAAATTCGTTTTTCCCCCTTAGACGTCCTCGTTAGCAGATCTATCAGCTTGTGTCGATTTCTCAACTAGGTTTTAAAATTATCTGCCAACACATTTTTTAGAACAAAATTTGTGTTTAACAAAGTTTGTGTTAAGTCTTTCGAAAGACCGAAAAGAGCTTTCAAGATAGTTTGAATCAGAATTGACAATTGTTTCGAAAAAACTGTGGCGGGTTGTAACCAGAATTGTTCTGTTTTGTATGTGCTAAGAAGCATTGCAATCAACAATGCGGTGTACATTATTTCCGTTTCGACCCTCTTTTAGAAAACGAAATAAAATCGTAGTAAAACGGGAGTTTAGAATTCGAGTACTTGTGAAGTTTTGAATGCATTTTGCTTGATCATGGCTGCCGTGTAGTAGCGTAAACTTATTCAAGTCACAATAATAAAGTAAGTGAAGTAAAATTTTCTTTGTACTTTTTAACACACACACACACACAACAAAAGCATCAAATTCGCATTGATGTGTAGTATTAGTATAAAGCAGTATTATTTACAAAGAAAAATTTATAAATACAAATTTACTAAATACATACATACATAATTGTATTATTTATACTTATGAATGTATGTAAACACACACTACATGTAATACAAAACGAAACAAAAATTACAAAAAATACAATTTCAAATACACACACACACAAAATAAACTGTGTTAGCCTAATTCTATGTAATTACAAAAAAAAAAATTAAATTATACAATATTTTAGTGAGTTTGTTTGAGTACCTTTGTATACTAAAGATATTAATTATATTACACAATTTAAAACAGCTTATTTACATATGTAGTTACATATGTATGTATGTACGTAGCTCTGTTTTGCTTTGTTGCTGAAACTTTACTGCTATACTGTTACGGTCCCTAAACACTTACATACATATACGGCCCTACAAGACATTGCTGAGCACTTTAGGCGAAAATTCTAACACATTTACACTTTTTTCATTAGTCTCCAATACATGCGCATTTATCAAATGATTTTGTTTTTGTAGTATGGCATAAATGTGTTGTTTGGCTATTAGTACTGAGGACTTTCTAATAACAACATACAGGGAAAAGTATTCAATATTTTTTCCCATGTCCTAAACAAAAATGAATACTTTGATAAGCACTTTTGTAATTAGTGATAATGATGAACATGAGCACTCATATGATACTCAGCTGTCTTGTAGGGGGTTAACCGAAATTAGCGCATATCTATACAACTATCATTTTAGTACTACCAGCGTCACCACCTACACAAAACTTGTACAGTAAACTTTCCTTAGTGTATGCCTTTTCTAAAACGGCATACGCCTTTTACATAGAATTGTTGTTTAAAAAAAAAATACAGTTTTAACAAAGTCAAAGAATTCTTGGACTACATATTAGCTACATATCAAATTCATTTCAACAAAATATTCGCCCACTTCAGATTACGTCCCATTGAAAAAATTAAGTTAAATGGTTTATAAAAACCACTTACTTAAAACTAAAAATCACTTTCAATAATAGACTAAAAATCGATATGTTAGTACATTTCGTCCGTCCTTTAGTTAAACACACACTTTCACGCCGTCCTCATCAATGCGCGAATATATATCTACAAACTCGTACATATACTAACTGAAAGAACTATGGAAGGTTCTTACAAGAGTTCGCTCACTTAACACGATTGACTTTAAGCAGACGTCTTTAACTTTAGGTTGTCCAAAAGTATTGATCGAAATGAAGTTATGTTCAGCGCAATGACTGTCCAGTCAACGAAACATCCAAACTTTCTTTTGTTCAATGCAAACGTCATTTCTCCAATTGTAAAACATTGAAGAGGTCTTCTTGGTATGTTCCTGAAAGCTCTACTAAACGAGCAGCCATCTGAAATTCAACTAGAGTAAATGTGTAGTCTATTTGGCAGTAAAATGGTTTTTACGAAGGAAACTATGCTGCTCCGACTTAAATTTGGCCGTGCAAGTACCCTGTATTGCTGTGAAACCTCGTCAGTCCCTTCATATGTACATATGTATGTAAATATATGAAGAGAGCCGGACTCCGTCGTAAAAGCATATTTCCTTGGCCAATAAAAAACACTGATCTATGACTCAAATGATGAAGCTCTTGAATCACATTATCTAGTTTTTCTTTGTCCAGAAACAGCCAGTGGACTTTTAAATTGACTTTTTCGGAACCACCCTTAAACACATTCTTCTAGAATTTCTGATAAACACCTTTTGAAAATTCTTTCACCCATAAAGTGAATCAATGATAATCTGATCATTTTCTAAATTAACAAGCAAGAATTTTTCACCATAAATTTTTAGAAACAAACCATTTTTTAGTAACAATAATAGCTCCTAGTAGGCATTTCTTTGTAGAACATATCCATATATTTTTAGAATATTTTTCTTACAACCTGTGCTGCTGCTAATTTAGATACCTAGTCTATAACCATCCTCTATGTATACCTAGTGTTCGAACTATACACAAGAAAAATAAAAAAATACGGATATATTTACATGCCTGTATACCTATCTACCAATTTAAGCATAGTGCTCGTAGTCGAAAGAGACGCTCTATAACCATGCCTAAACCTGTGTTGTGTTAACCCTTGTGAACTATTTACTATATGTAGATATATTGTAGTTAAATAATTCTAAACTTAACACTTAACACTTATACATACATACATACATACATACTTACAAGAACAAGAAAGTACTTAACGAAAAAAAAATATGTTCGTAATAGTTAAAGTTATTTAAGCAAAAAGTTTACGGTAAAAAGATAGTTACGACTAAAAACTAAAAACTTACTTAGTTTAATTTTAGCTTAAAAAAGGAACTGGTTGATTATGTACTTACTTACATACATAGTACTTACCTATTATAAAATAGGCCTTTAATACCAAATAGAAATATTGTAAAAAGAACTTTGTAGAAATTTTGCTAACCCTACCCAACAGCCTATAACTGAAGTACTTAATACTAAAGACAGGGCCACTACATACTTACTACAAATATTGTAAAAACTGTTTTGGAAAATTACAATAAAGTTTACTAATAAAAATTGAACAGTGCATATATAAACTATAGANTACCAAATAGAAATATTGTAAAAAGAACTTTGTAGAAATTTTGCTAACCCCCTACCCAACAGCCTATAACTGAAGTACTTAATACTAAAGACAGGCCCACTACATACTTACTACAAATATTGTAAAAACTGTTTTGGAAAATTACAATAAAGTTTACTAATAAAAATTGAACAGTACATATATAAACTATAGAACTTATTAAGTTTTATTAACATGATTTTCATGTACGTATGTATATTTAGCTTTTATTATAATTTCGGCATTATTTTTCATGTTTCAAAATATGTTCAACAGTTTCAAAGTCGGTATTGGTTATTACAACGAATTTTTATACCCAAGTTTGCTTATAACAGCCTAAAGAAATCGAGATAAATTTATACATTATATATGGGTCAATCCGTGCCAAATCTACCAAGGGTTGGGAAGTTCTGCTAAAGGAAAAAATTAAATTTTTTTTCGGAATTTCACTCGGATTTTGCAAACTATTACAAAAATATTTCTGGTCTCGTTTTAATTGTGATATATGGGGCTATAGAAAAGATGTATATTTAACAAAAGCTGAAAAGAAAAAAGTTAAAGAATTTTGAAATTTAAAAATTCGTGAAAGCAAGAACTTACACAAACCTTTGGCTCTTAAAACATCCTAAATCTTTCCTTAAGGATGTGTGATTAATCAATTAATCGAACAAGCTGATTAATCGCAACCTGATTAATTAACTAATCAAAAAAATAATCACTTTTGATGAATCGAAGGGATTCTTTTCTCAATTAATTTCATTATGATTTATCAAAATCTAATTAATTTTATTAATCAGAAAACTGAATAATCGCTACACATCTTTTTAATATAAAAAAAAGTTTTAGTCATATGCATATGTATATCGTCAACTGAAATGCAAAAAGACGTAACAAACATCATCGTTGAAATGCAACTAACTAATAAAAAATTCAAAATTCACTCTTTGATTTATATGATGGATTTCATCAAATTACAACTCCCCATATCATTTTATGTAAAAATAATAATTAAAATATTAGTTACGACTTTAATAAGGACTATAATTAATCAATAATTTATTTAATCGATTAATCGCACATCCCTATTTTAAATTATTGTACTATTGTTTACCACAATTTACTTAGAGTTAGCAAAAAAATGTGTCAAAGTTCAAAAATTCATATTTAAAAATAACATCTTGAGAATTCCAGGATCTTTTAAGATCAATTGGAGGTGTTGTATAAACAAAAGTGAGCCTAAAATGTTTAAAGGTGTTTGCTATTACGATTTTTTCAAATTTAAAATTTTACATAAATTGAGTTCAAACAAGTTTGGAATACTTATCTTTCGATCACAGCAAACATAGTAAAACATCCTGTATGCAATGAATTATGCTTTCCTTCAAGTTCATTGCATACTTTAGGTATGCGTCTAAGAGAAGCGTATTTCACACTTCACGAAAAAGGTTACCTGTACAAAACTCTACAACAAAGAAAAGAAATAACGACAACACAATAAACCACAAAATCGATTTACATTTATTATCCTTTCGCCAAAACCACAATTCCAAAACAATTTGTGTAGTTTATGTTGTTACAATTTATGTATAGATATGTAAAATAGATGATAATCAAATACGAATTAAAGCATCAGATAACAAAAAATAAATAAAAAAAAATGTTATTTAGAAAAATAAAAGAACGTCAAAAAATATGTTTTACGCCTTTTAACTTTTTAAATTCCACCAAATGTATTTTGGCGCCCAAAACTCGTTCAATCCACCTCTTCAATTGTCGGCCCACCAGCAGCACCACCAGCACCGGGACCACCACCAGCTGCATTTGGTGGTGGTGGTGGTGGTGGTACGCCACCTTGGTACAAACGCGTTATAATTGGGCTACAAATGTGCTCCAATTCCTTCTGTTTATACTCGAACTCATCCTTCTCCGCTTGCTGGTTGGTATCCAACCATGTGATAGTCTCATTACATTTCTGCAAGATCAGCTGGCGATCAGCGTCCGAAATTTTTGCGCGTATATTCTCATCATCCATTGTGGATTTCATTTGGAAGCAGTAGGATTCGAGCGCATTCTTGGCGTTGATACGTTCACGTTGCTTCTCATCCTCATTGCGATACTGTTCCGCCTCATTTACCATGCGTTCGATGTCGTCCTTGCTCAGCCGTCCCTTATCGTTTGTGATGGTAATTTTATTCTCTTTCCCAGTGGACTTCTCCACAGCTGTCACATTTAATATGCCATTCGCGTCAATATCGAAAGTCACCTCAATTTGTGGCACGCCGCGCGGTGCAGGCGGTATGCCGCTCAGCTCGAATTTGCCGAGAATATTGTTGTCCTTGGTCATGGCGCGCTCACCCTCGAACACCTGTATCAGCACGCCTGGCTGGTTGTCCGAGTAGGTAGTGAATACCTGAGTCTGCTTTGTTGGGATTGTCNTCCTTGGTCATGGCGCGCTCACCCTCGAACACCTGTATCAGCACGCCTGGTTGGTTGTCCGAGTAGGTAGTGAATACCTGAGTCTGCTTTGTTGGGATTGTGGTGTTACGCTTGATTAACACGGTCATGACACCGCCAGCTGTCTCGATACCTAAAGAGAGTGGTGTTACATCGAGCAGCAGAAGATCCTGTACCGCCTCCGATTTATCACCGCATAATATAGCCGCCTGCACAGCAGCGCCGTAAGCGACCGCTTCATCCGGATTTATGGACTTATTCAACTCCTTGCCATTGAAAAAGTCCTGCAATAGCTTCTGTACTTTCGGTATGCGCGTCGAACCGCCAACCAAAACAATATCGTGTATCTGTCCCTTGTCCATTTTCGCATCACGCAGCGCCTTCGCAACTGGTTCCATGGTGCCGCGGAATAGATCACCATTCAACTCCTCGAAACGTGCACGCGTTATGGACGTGTAGAAGTCAATGCCCTCGTACAAAGAATCGATTTCGATGCTCGCCTGCGAGGAGGCCGAAAGCGTGCGTTTGGCGCGCTCGCAAGCTGTGCGCAAACGTCGTAAAGCGCGCTTATTTTGTGCCAAATCTTTCTTGTACTTGCGCTGGAACTCTTGTACAAAATGATTCACCATGCGATTGTCAAAATCTTCGCCGCCCAGATGTGTATCGCCTGCTGTAGACTTCACCTCAAAGATGCCGTCCTCAATGGTAAGTATGGACACATCAAAAGTGCCGCCGCCCAAATCGAAAATCAATACATTGCGCTCACTGGTACCCTTCTTGTCCAGGCCGTAAGCGATGGCTGCAGCAGTGGGCTCATTAATGATACGCAGCACATTTAAGCCAGCAATGGCGCCGGCATCCTTTGTAGCCTGACGCTGTGAGTCGTTAAAATATGCCGGCACCGTGACGACAGCATCTGTGACTGGCTTGCCAAGGTACGCCTCTGCGGTTTCCTTCATCTTCGTCAACACCATCGAAGAGATCTCCTCCGGAAAGAAGCTCTTCTTTTCGCCCTTATATTCGATGCGCATTCTCGGTTTGCCATTCTCGTTGAAGACTTCGAAAGGCCAGTGTTTCATGTCGCTCTGCACGGTGGCATCATCGAACTTGCGGCCTATCAAACGCTTTGCATCTGCGGTGTGAAAGATAAGAGGACAAAAAGATGGTATCTTGGGGATCATATAAATATGTATGTATGTATATATGTTATATGAATTAACTAAACGCAATTATGAAGCAAGTGAGTAGCAGTACACTTATGGCGTTTTCTTTTTGTTCGAAAAAATTACGACCTCCTTATGTGGCGACATTTTAAAGAAAGAGCACACAATATGTATGTGAAGATGCTGAGAAAAGAGCACGGAAACCGACAACCCTGGAGCAGGGCAGAATAAATGCCAAATTATTTCGAGGAAAAGAAAACGCTATTAGTGCATATGAACTTCTGTGATAGATTCGAGGGTGATGCAAAAAAGAACTAAAAGGCTAAACTTTTACTTTTAACGGCAGGCTGATTATTTTATTACAAACATTCAACTTTAGTACACACTTAGCAAATAAAATTGTGAAGTTTAATTGCGGCGGACAACACAATTTTTAAATTACATTGCATTTAAGATATTAGTCACATGACCAGGCAGAATATATATTTACTCAAACATGGGAGTCCAAAGACTCTCTGAATTACAGAACTGAAATGAGAGCACAAAACAAATAAGGTTTCATATTAGATCTAACACACAGAATGGACACGTAGTATATTTGTAATTTTATGTATAGAATATAGGAGAATAGATGGGTTAATAACAGTGAGTTGATAGATAACAACTTTATGAAAAAAAAATAATTACAGGGAGTATGGAATAACCCAAAAAACGCTTTTTAAAGTGATTTGAATCAAACTCTTAATTATCTTGCGTAAAAAATAAAAACGGTAGTGCATTTTAATTATTGGCATAGCCGCTGCCAAAGTGTAAAACTTAGAGGTAAACAGATATTTAAATATTTTTTTATAGTTCTTTGTTATAAAATTGATAAACGAGTCGACTGGAGGTGTTTGACTCCAGTATAAGGAATCGTTTGATAACTCATGCAGCTCCTTCATAAAAAATATGAGAAGCCTTTTTATAGCACAATCACAATAGATGTACACTGAAAAAATAAGCCTAATTGTTCTCGTACTTGCGCTGGAAATCTTACACAAAATGATTAACCAATGCGATTGCGAAAATCTTCGCCGCCCAGATTTGTAAGGTTTATTATATAAAACCTCGGATTACCATTTCTGAGATATAATGATTAAAAAATTGTGTTCTCCATAATATGCACAATTTCAATGTACTTGTGGGGTAGTGTAGTTGGTGCGTTTTTTTAACAGGACTTTCCCGGTAGGCCTACTCCACGTCTTACTGTAGTCCTGTTTAACTAAATAATATTGCATGAGATAAAAATAGTACCATTTGAAGTGATGAAAGCAGTGTGAATTAAAAATACTTAAAAAAAGACGATTCATCTGATTGAAAAAGTGCACTTACATTTTTTTTATATAGCTGGCCAGTCTCAAATTTCTTTTTATGCACTGAAGCTCATTGAATTTGCTATCTTTTTTGTAAACAATATTTCCCCCGGATTTCTATTTTAGAAGTTAATCATTGACATATCGAAAATTTGGCATAATTAAAAAAAAAGTAATTTTTAGCAAAAAAAAAAACGACTTCAATTCTCATACAAAAAAGATATATATATATATATATTTATATACATCATGATCCAATGATCGGATCTATACCGGATTGGTATGGGGCCACACCTTAGGACACTACCTTTCCGATGCAAAAAGAATTATCGAAATCGGTTGACGTGGTCCAAAGTTATGCGGTAAAAAAATATATATATATATTCCGACGAACAGACAACCTCCTCCTTTTTTGGGAGTCGGTTAAAAATTATATAGAAAATTACACTCGGTAAATATATCAGCATGAAAGAACCTGTTAACTTCCGAGTGGTTGCCCGCTAAAGCATGATTTTTTATAAATACCATAAGACCCTGCTCACCTAAATTGAATGCTAAATGTAGAAGTTATGATCAAGAGATATATACATACAAAAAGTTTCCATACAAATTTATGATTTGCATATTATGTATGGAGAACACACCTTTTATTCAAGTTTTGAATCGCTATACCTCAGAAATGCTAATTTTTATGAAGAAAAATGTGATAGCAGTTTTTTTTAGATAATTGTATGATTTACACCTTCGACTGACCTATTTTTAACCGACTTCCAAAAAAGGAGGAGGTTATCAGTTCGTCGGAATATATTTTTCTTTTTATGTGTGTTACCGCATAACCTTAGACCACGTCAACCAGATAGTTATTTTTGCTTAGCTTTCAAATATTCAGATTGTATAAAATTTTTACAATTATTCCAACTAAACTAATTTGGAATTAAACATGAATTTGTGTGATATTTCCATATTTCTGTTCAAACTTTTCACAAATAAAATATAAAAAAAAACCGAACAAGATTTTTCTCAGTGTACATGCATACATATACTATTTTCCACCGAGAGCCGAACGCCCTTAATTTCGTTTTCGATTCGATTCGACAATCCATTTTGAGATTACGGCACTCGATACAACGAGTCAATATAAATTATATTAGAGAAGAAACGGTGTAACTTTAATTTATTTATGTATAAGAAGCGACAAATGCGACAATGAACGACTAAAATCCCGAAGAGATAGCCACGTCTGGTACACTGTTGGTTCCACAGCCATGAATGACCATGGTATCGGAGCAGAGGTCTTTTGTATACAACCCAGATGACTCTTTTTTCACTAGCATCGGGCAAGCTTAATCTGTTTCTCAAGCTGAGCTGCATGTCTGAGACAGGAGCCCAACAAACACATCTACGAGTATATGTATTTATACACTCGGACACAAGGGCGGCGGTCCTCGCCTGGGCTTTGCTTCAACATTTAATATTCATCGCATACAGAACCCGGATTTACTTCATTTGGATACCAGGGCGATCATGAGCCATGAAGTGACAGACATTCTCGCGAGGAAAGACACTTCGTAGGGATTCCTAAGCGCAGGAACCTTCATCGGCATGCCATGGAGTACAGTTAGGCGAAATTATTATGTGGAAGGAGCAACATTACAGGGAAAATACGGAAAGTTGCAGATAGACAAAATATTTCATTCCGAAAATATCAATAAATAGAACTAAAATAAAACACTCCGAATGCCTAACAATCTTTACTAAGAATGGTTACCGACTTTCTTACTGGTCACTGCAGGGTAAGGAGGCGCTTGTCACATCGAGGAGTTGTTCACTCCGTCCAGTGCACGGTTATGTGATGAGCAGAGCTGACTCGTAATGATTTCTTTAGAAATTAAATTACTCTCAATTACTAACTACAAGAAATTCCTTCAGTCCACAGCAACGGAATTATGGATGGTTGAGCGGGAAATACTTTCACAAAAGCATCGCTCCACAAAAAACATCTCTTAAAGTCATACAAATGCAATAAATATTTTCATACAGCAACAGGTATAACATATTTACACAAACACAAATAAAGTTAGTTATATGTATTGTTGAGTTCAAAATGCGCAATGCACTTTCTAGAAAATTTGTCTGCATTACCCCAGACATTGAGTCGAAATTGAGATGACTCTAGCACCTAATTTTAAGATAAAAACCTGTGTGACTTGTAAATGTCTGTGGCAACAGTACCGACTCAGAGTAAACAAATTTTAAAGATATGTATGTGTATGTATGCAGATCACTGAAGGAATGAGGTCGGGGTATAAGTACTAAATTGGCTTTGATGGGTCTGCTGAGGTATTGGACGAAATTAGTACTTCTATGCAAATTAAATAAGTCACTCATAGGGACATGTGCAGTCGACGAGATGGCGATGCGACCGATTTGGTTGAGAGAGACGCTTCTGTAAAAGAATTTGTTTGTGAACTACGGAGCGAATAAAAGCATGTGCAACACCAAGTGACGCTGTGCTTAAAATATCTAAATGCAAATTATACTACCAAGTGATAGGTAAAATAAAAATTTATCGCCACATAAGCGGGATCAACGTAATGAAAATAAATATCTACTAAAATTAGCTGCATATAAGCGAGAATAATAAAAATGGACGTGGCAACAATAGAAAATTTAATTGAATAAATTAGGAATATATACTGGCAGACGTTGGCAACATATTTGTGGCAGCCATACACATTGGCACACTAACGCACAGTGTGTCGCGCGCAACAGGCTAGGTGGACAAAATGAATTCCCGGTTTTCTAGAAAAGGGTAACTTACTAACATACAGCATATGCCGAAAGCCCTGACTGAAATGTATTTTTATGTTCTACATTCTAAGTACTATGGGGTGTTCTTAGTCTTCAGAAATCAATTTTTAATCTTACTGAAACCCATTGCAAGAAAAAACTATGCACCCACAACACAAGTCATTTTTTGGTATCGTATTTGGTCTGCCGGAGTCATCGTCTCTAGTCACTACTACAGACTTTTCGCGGTGAATAAGAAAAATATGGCGGAAATGATAATTGCTTTCTATTTACTATAAAAAAAAATCGGAAATGAAGCGAGGAAATTTTTTATCAACAATTTTATTAGAAAATAAACCTAAATACTTTAATATCATAAAACATTAAGGAAATAGATAAGAATTATTTTTAAAACAATAAAATAAAATAAAAACATGTTAAATTGTTGTAAAAAGAAAATTAAATGAACAAGTACTTTTCAAACAAAAAATATAAACCAAATTCTACTCTCATATAAAAATTTGAGAGTATCGTTAATTTCTTCATGATCCAATGATCGCATCTAAAACAAATTAGAATGGGACCACCTTTGAAGCACTAACTTTTCCCCCCAAAAAAAAGAAGAGAATTATACAAATCGGTTAGCAAGTTATTCGATAACATACATTAAAATTAAAATAAAAAATATTCCGAAAAATTGATAGCCTCCTCCTCTTTTTCAAGCCGGTTACAAAATAAACAAACCTCTGACTGACGATTCGAACCTCGAATCTCTCGAATGACGCGCTAGAGATTTGCTAACTCGGCCATTGCGACTGTTGGAGCTCCACGAGCAAAATGACATCCAGATATGATATCACCTGACTGTTTCTGTTTGTTTTAACCACACATTTTTGGTGAACTTTTTATGACTTTCTCTTACTGACTTGAGATAAGACTGTCTCACTGAATACCAACATAAATATACCGCAAAACTTACAGTAAAAATTTTTGTCCACCTAGCTTGTTCTGCACGGCACACTGTGCAATGTCGACAATGGCGCGGACGACTTGGCTGATGGTTGAGCCAAAGAGAAGCGACAGCGCGTCAAACAAATTTAGCAACAGAAAATGATAAATAGAAAGCGACAAGTGCATAATACGATGTGGCCAAAAATGTACAAAAACAAAAGGAAAGATGTTTATATTCTTGGCTACGAGTTGTACTAAAATTGCAGTACATATATGTATGAGTGCAAGTGTTTGTGCATGCATTCGACGTGCATGATTGATGATGTCTTTCGTTGTGGGGATAGTGGGTGGCGCTCAGCATCATAGTTAATCATATTTTATTGTTTATTTTTCTGTTTAGTTTTTTTTTTGTTGTTGTTTATTATCTAGTTTTTAGTTTTTGTTGAACTCACCAAAAATAGTGTTGTTTGGGTTCATGGCCACTTGATTTTTGGCCGCATCACCAATTAGTCGCTCAGTATCGGTGAAGGCCACATAGGATGGAGTCACTCTATTGCCCTGGTCATTGGCGATAATGTCGACTTTGCCATGCTGAAACACACCGACGCATGAGTATGTCGTGCCAAGATCAATGCCAACTGCTGGCGCTTTAGCCATTGTGATTGCAGTGTTGCTGCCTAATGCCGGGCTACAGTATGGATGAGGCCTTTGTTATTGCTGTGTTTCTTGCTGCACTAGCTGCTTTAATTATAGCGACGATGGTGAACGTTGGTGACAGCGCATTGAGTTGATTGCATAGCCAGTCCAAACATATATACATACATATGTACATATATACGTACATACATACATAGAGATGAACCAAATTTAGTTGCACCAAATTATGCAGAAAGAATGCGCACATTGCATAAGTATTCGTTGATGTAAAAAATAATCTCACAATTTCACAAAATATCCACAACTTACCTCTTTTGGTTGCTTGGCTATTTGAGTTGAAAATTAACTTAAATCTAGGCGCCTTCTCAGAATGCGTAACGGTATAGGTAAAGTGATATGATGAGGAATAGCAGGACGAAGGTGGATACTCGCAGAAATTCTAGGAGTTTCTCTCTTTGCAGCTCCACTGCGGCGGCGTTCGCATATGCGTTACAGCGGCACGAACGCGTAGAAAGTTACCGAACAAAAATATTTTCTATGCCAATGCAGTAGCAAATTATTTAATGCAATAATTTTAGCGACACTTAATTGATTTAAGCCACGAATATTTGAATTTGTTCAATGTAATTGTTTTGTATTTAGTAATTTTTCGCTTTCAAAACTTTTGTTGCTCTTTGTTTTTTTTTTGAGATTTTATTTTTGGATTATTTTCTTACAAAACAAATTTGTATGCATGTGTGTATGCCGCCAGAGAGTGTTGTGAACTTGGCCGTTGTTCGCAAGTGAATGAGCCAAAATGATCGCATTTTGTATTTTCAAAATAATTTCGATATGTTTAGCAATCGCTGTTAACCGTTTCGGCCGTTTGCGTTCGGCGAAATTTCTCGGGCGATGTTATGGACGGTCCATATGGCTCAGCAGATTTGGTGCATTTCTCTTCTGAGGTCGAAGACACTCAGTCGCCAAGTCTCTTAAGTTGTGATCTTTTTCATTTATAGACGCAAAATGAGATTTTCCCCAGTTCGATATTAATACATATGATACATACATTATTCGTCAATTGAAGCCTCCCTATATACAAAATTCTTGCAGACAAATTAATTTTTATTCTTGGAAATTTAGCAAAAAAAAATTTAAATGATGAATGAGTTTTTTTGAAATCTAACATTGGGGAAAAGTTTTTAACAACTTATTGAATTCGCGCGAAACTCGTTACTAAGGAGTTTTTTGGTTGCTGATTATGAATTTTACTACGAGTTTTTAAAATTCAAAATTACGGATTTTTTTTTTAATTTATTGAGTTTGCCATATTGGATCGGCCATTTTGAAATTTTCGTNAGTTTTTAACAACTTATTGAATTCGCGCGAAACTCGTTACTAAGGAGTTTTTTGGTTGCTGATTATGAATTTTACTACGAGTTTTTAAAATTCAAAATTACGGATTTTTTTTTTAATTTATTGAGTTTGCCATATTGGATCGGCCATTTTGAAATTTTCGTAATCAGCGACAAAAAAAAATCCCCAGTAACAAATTCAAGCGATTATGATCATTTTTCAAATTTTTGTCCGTTATACTGGATCAGACGTATGTGAAAAAACGTTATCATCATTTAAAAGTTCAAATGTTTACCAAATTTTTATAAATATAACAGATTTTTTGTACCTGAACTAATTTTGGAAAAGGGATGAATAAATTTTGGACAATTTAACCACTATATTGTATCAGCCATTTTTATACCCGAGCGCACTTGTGCACAAGGGTATATTAATT